GGGGGGGGGCTGAGGTGGGGAACTGCCCAAGGCTGGGAAGAACTTCTTTTTAAGTCCTCCTTCAGTATAACCAAAAGTTAACCTAAGTAGAGCTAGAAGCTCAAAGATGACCTCGATAGCTAAGATGTAGCCAAGCCTCTCTGCTTTCAGGTATTTAATGTCCCTGAAAACCTTGGTGCTAGTATTTCTATTTTGACACTTGGAAACATCAAAATTTGTCATTAATTTTCTTTCTTTGCCACAGAAAATTGTTTATTTGTTCAGGCTCACCTTGAACTCACCATGTAGTCCAGGCTGGCCTCAAACTCAGGGCAGTACTGCTGCCTCAGCAGCCCAAGTGCTGAGATTACAGGTGTGCACTACCACGCCTGGCTGTCATTAAAAGTTTACTTAAGTATGTCCTTTTAAAAGATTGCACACATGCAAAGCTGGGCATGGTGGTTCATGCCTATAATCCTAGCATTGTAAGAGGCTAAGGATCACAAATTCAAGGTCAGACTGGGCAACTCAGTGATTTAGCAAGATGTTCTCTGAAAATTCTTTTTTAAATTTCTTTTTTATGAGCTGGGGATGTAACTGAGTGCAAAGGCCCTATGTTCAATCTCCAGCCCTGGAAAAAAGAAATTAAAAAAAAAAAAGATGTGGGCATGGTGGTGCACGCCTGTGATTCCCGCACTTGGGAGGCTAAGGCAGGAAGATCGCCATGAGTTTAAGGCCAGCCTGAACTACATAGCGAGACCCTGTCTTAAAAGAAGAACTCCAAACAGACCAGGGATTTAAATGTAAACATGAAACCATGCAAGTACAGAAAAAAAAGGTATTTTTTTAGAAATGGGATTTAACTGTGTTACCCAGCTGGCCCTATACTTCTGGGCACAAGCAATCCTCCTGCCTTTGTTTCCTAGGAATTGTGACTACAGGTGTACCCCACTGTGTTCTGCAGTGAATGCCTCTTTAGCCTGGGTGTAAGGAAAGATTTTCTATGACTAGAAACCCAAATGAAATAAAACATTAAGCAAATTGACCATATACAAGTGTAAAACAATTGGGTGTGGTAGCACATGCCTGCATTCCCAGCTACCAGGGGAGCTAAGACAGCTCGTTAGCCAGTCTGAGGCCACACTGGGCCATTTAGCAAGACCCTGTCTCAAAATTTAAAGATCAAATTCAATGGTTCAATATTGGCCATATGGGGAAATTTTATTCAGTTCTCCTCCAATTCAGTTTGTGACCGGAACCATACAATTGTTTATAAACAGGTATCATTATAATCAGAAAAATGAAATTAAAACTACATGTCATTTCTCATCATACTGCAGATGTCAATATGAGCCAGGTCCGGTGGCATGCACCAGTAGTCCCAGCTGTTCTGAGAGGCGGAGGCAGGAGGGTGGTGAGCTGAGGCCAGCAAGGACAACAATGAGGCCCACTCATTTAGTTAGTTATTTCTTTGAGACCCGCTTATTTTAAAAAGTATGACAACAACAAAAAAAAGTATGACAACAGTTTTTTTGGTGCCAGTGAAGGCTAGTGTAACTCTGATGTGATCAGAATTTAAAATGTTACAACTCTTATGGATGAGGCATTTAACACTAAGAAAAAAATAGATTTGACTCAGCAGCCCCATTTTAGGATTGTATCCTGAAGATGCATTTCCAACAAAAGAAAATGTGTGCAAAAGCTATTCATTGCAGCCTTGTTTGTAACTGCAAAAGTTAGGCTGAATGTTAGAAATAAGAGTGGTCAAATGAGAAATGGTAATTCCATACAACGTAATATAATACAGATGTAAATTATGGCAAAAATAGTAAGGGCTCTATGAACTCAAGTGGTTCCCAGAATATACTCATAAATGAAAAACACCATATGCAAGAGTATACAGTATGCTGCCTTTTATGGAAAAAAAGGGGAGTTAAGGAAATAGATGTGTGTCTTTGTACAAAATGAAACATGGGAAGGAGGAAGAGTCTGAAGACTGGTTGGTTACCTATGGGGTGTGGAGCGGAAATGATCAAAGGAATGGGAAGAGACTGACACCTTTTCGTTTGTTTTTTGGTGCCGGATCGAACTCAGATACCTCCGCTTGCGCAGCAGGCATCGAAACCACTGAGCCAAATCCCCGGCCCACCTTTTTGTAATGACATTTGAAACCATGTTAATATACCACAGAGAAGTAAACAAGGACAGGGAAATAGGACATAATTTAAGATACGTGAACAATAATTCAGATGAAAAACCACAGTGAAGGGGAAGAAACATGCAAGTAAATTTGAACACCATATTTTGACTAGATGCCTTCAAACTATAGACAAAAAAGAACACTAAGTAAATACCCTTCTAGCTGGGTATAGTGGCGCATACCTATAACCCTAGCACTCAGAAGGCTGAGGCAGGAGGATCACTATGGGTTCAAGGCCAGCCTGGACTACATAATGAGACCCCGTCTCAAAAAACAAAAAACAGGGCCGGCTCAATGGCACGTTGCCTGCCTGGCAAGTGCAAGGTCCTGAGTTCAAGTCCCAGTACCAAATAAATAGTAAAAATAAATTATTTCCCACAGAGGCATGGTTTAGCCATGCTGTGCATTCTCACATGGAGTAAATATATTATGGATAATGGAGTCAGCTTTTCACTACCAAGGAAGGGAATTACACATATGACAAAGGGAAAGGATGTGCCTTGTGGTGATGATATAAAACACAGTGTCATGGTTTAAAGACAAACAGAAGGGCTGGATGTGGTGGTGCACACCTATATTCCCAGCACTCAGGAGCCTGAGGCAGGAGGATTGTCAACAAGTTCAAGACCAGCCACAACTACACGGCGAGACCCTGTCTCAAAAAAACAAGAAATAAAATGAAAAAAAGACAGAACAGTGCAAGAGGCATCATTTCCTGACTCTGTCCATTGAAAGAAACTGCAAGCAGTGACACCCCAGTACCAATGAGCATACCCAGTATCCACATCTCAGTTACTAATAGCATTATCCATAAAAGCAAACAGCTCCTTGGAGAAATGGCTGATTTAAGGGTCAGGACTCCTTGCAATAAATACTAGAAAGTATGCAAGCACCTAAAGAATGAGAGGGACGTACCAGGACAATGCAGGAAACAGGTTGAAGGCTTCCAGTGGGCATCAAAATGAGTAGATAACCCGTTGAGTAAAATAGGAACTTGAGTCAATAGCTACAGAAGGGAAAACTTCCATATAATTGTCAACAAAGAAATGCAGATGGAGTATAGAATTAGTCAATCCCCAGGCCAGCCAGCCAGGGATTTAGCTCAGTGGTGCCGCCGCCCACCTTGCAAGCACAAGGTCCCAAGTTTGATCCCCGGTACCAAAAAAAAAAAGAATTAGTCAATCCCCATTTGGCATAATAATCAAATTAGACAAGCGCCATCAGTGGAAGTTTGAGCAATAACTATTTACACAGTCCCCACAATTCACTTAATGACAGGAATAAATGGTATTCCTATTCAGTAATAGAGACCTGGCACACCAGCTTGGCCACGTAAGAGCAACAGAACAAAGCAACTTTGTGCACTTCCTGGGCACACCAAGGAGGACTTCACATCACTGCTCTCAAAGTACTGCCAGAAGGGCAAAGCTTGAATCTATGGGACAAGCCCAAATGGAGTTGGGGAAGGGGCATTCGTCAAAATAATTATTTTGGGGGCTGGGGATGTAGCTCAGTGGTAGAACACTTGCCTAGCACTTGTGAGGCTCCTGGGTTCAATTTCTAGCACTAGTTTTTTCAAAAATACCAGTGTTTTGTCAAATTAAGAAAAACTAAATGGGGCTTGGTGGCACATCCCTGTAAATCCAGCACTCTGAGAGGCTGAAGCAGGAGGATCACAAATTCCAGTCCAGCCTGGGCAACTTTGCGACTTAGCAAAACCACCTCAAAATAAAAAAGAGCGAGGGATATGTGTGTGAAGGCTTTGGGTCCAATCCCCCATACAACAAACTAAAACACATAAAGACATGGGGCAACTGAATGTAATGAATTTGGGGGAGATTTGAAAAACTTGCTAGATCCAAATATTTGCTGCAGGTTTTATAGTACTGTGTCAGCGCTAATTTCCTTTGACACTTGCACTGTGGCCTGACGAGAAAGGTCTCTGGCATGGGAGTGATATACAATATTTAGAAAGGGAGGGCCGAGGATTTAGCTCAGTGGCACCGCGCCTGCCTCGCAAGTGCAAGGTCCTGAGTTTGATCCCCGGTACTGAAAGAAAAACATACACATAGAAAGGGGCACACAAGTATTTTGTACCATAGGGAGCTCATCTCTGCAACTAAGCGAAAAATACATATTTGGGGAAAGAGAATGAAGCAAATGGGGCAAAATGTCACCATTTATAAAGCCGGGAGTTGGGCAAATTGGGATGTTTTTACGACTTTGCTTTAAAACTGAATTTGCTAGAATACAAACCCTAAAAGAAACAAAACATTTTCATGGCCTGAAAAGGGGCAAAATTGCATTCTTCATCTAATATATAAAGCACAGCCTTAGCTACTGAGTTATACCTGGAAGCTCGCCCCAGCCACAGAGCCACAGAGCTACAGAGCCACAGGCCTTCCTGCCACCCTTCTGTGGGAGCTCCAACAGAGCCCAAGTAGCAGCTGTGTGCTCAGCTCCTCTCAGGCAGAGTCTCCATCTGCTGTCGTATCTAGATTGTGATTGGTGAATCTGTGGTGACTGCATGACTGGCCACCTTGATGGTACTTACATTAATGAGACAATCTTTCCAACAAGAGGACTCCAGAGAGAAGCAGCTTCTATTTACCAACCATTTTCTGGATGCTAGGCACAGTGCTAAATGCTTTCTGGAATCCCAGAGGCCCATGTAGTCATCCCATCTCATCCGAATGAAGGCAGAGAGAAATCGAGCAACTCTACCCATCATCCATGCAGGCTTTGATCTGACACCAACATCAGTGCTTCTCAATCAACTGGTAAGTGCCACTTAACTCCAAACCCTAAGCCTACCACTGGCTCATGTGTCAACCACCTCTGCCTTGTTCCAGATTCACCACACACCAGCGTCCAGAGAGCACAAGTTTAATGAGGAGACTGTGCAATGTTATGATGGGACCTCCCTCTGGCCAGCTGGTATCCTGTGCCTTGGGATACCTTCAGCACGCTCTTCTATAAGGTGCTGGCCATGCCGATTGGTTCCTGCCTAGGTTCTTCCTACAATTCTGTGGACTGATGGAAAGGCCCACACATGAATCTGTTTGAAGATTGTGTCATCGATAAGGAACAGGTAGAGAAGTACTGGGGGAGAAGGTCTTGGGTGCTCTTTGTCCAACAAATACCAATCTAACATTTTCTGTGGACACAGTGATTTTTAAATGGGATAATATAATGTCCACTACATGGGATTCAGGAATGGCACTGTCTGGATGACAGATATGATGCAGTGGTGAGAATGTGGAGTTCACGGGTAAAGAAAAGTGACATTTGGGGCCGGGGATGTAGCTCTGTGGTTCTGCCCCCTGCCTCAAAAGCGCAAGGTCCTGAGCCCCAGGATAAAGAAAAAAAAAGAAAGAAAGAAAAGAAAGTGGCATTTGGCTTTAACCCCATCTTCAATGCTACAGAGAAAGGGGAAGCAGAGCAAGGTCAGCTGCTGACTGAGCCTCACTTCACACTCCTCAAATGACTCTGCCAGTGCTCCCCTCCACCAGGCCAATACCACTCATTTTCTAGATGGGGAAACCAAGAAAGAAAAGAGCCTTGCCTAAAACCACCTGGCACAGGCAAGGAGGTGATGCTCCATCTACTCAAATGGACCAGTGAACTCAGCTGCTTCCTGATGGTGGAGGTGACTCATCTTGGACTTGGCCAAAAGCAAGGGACAACCAAATGGTGATGCTCCCTGCCCTCTGTGTGTGTGTCAACAGCCAAGTCCAGGGCAAGGGGGAAGGGGACGGATGTAACTTTCACTGTCCAGAGATGAAAGCCTAGGGAGCCTGAAACATCCCTTCCCACCCCCTCACCATGGCATCTGTAAAGTGCAAACAGCAGGGCTGGGCATGGCCCCCACTGAAGACCTGCAGGTCTTGTGTACCTCCTGGGCCGGGTCTTCCTGCAGGGGCTCCAGACCTCCTGCTGAGGGCTGCCTTGGGTAAATACTTCCAGACACCTAACCCAAAAGCCACTGGTTGGTTCTCTCCAAGCCAACCAACCCCTCCATAGGCACTGTGGCAGCAAGACAGAGCTTTGGTCCCAAGAAATGCCATCCAGGCCTACTGCAGCCAATCTTCCTGCTTGACCTGGAACCTCCCCCAAGGACACTGTTCCTGCTGTGCACCTGGAGGCTAAGACACTTGTGCGGTCAAAGCCCCTGGCTGCCCAGCTCAGAGCACCAGGGTAAGGTGGGCTGGGCCACAGCAGGAGCCAGAGCTGGGGTGTCCAGCTGGCCAAGTTCCCATGCCCCTTTCTCTGCCTACTGTACAAGGACCAGGAAACCCACTGGACTGCTGGCCTGAGGACTCAGAAGAAACTCAAGAAGCCTGAGCAGGTGCATGGGACACAACTGTGACCATCTCAGACAGGGACCACCAGAATCCCCCAAAGGGAATGGGAGTAACAGGAGCCTCTGGGCAAAGCTTAAAACCATCCACCACGGCAGACAAAACTCAGGCTGAGACTGGGTGTATGCTTCCTCAGGTCTCATTCATCACTCCTTTGAAGCCCTCAGGGTTCTCAGCCTGACCAGTGGCCAGGGCGACCTGGACAGGAGCAGGGGCATCTCCAGGGCCCAGGGCGAGGAGCAGGGGCTGTGACGTGGGGAGATGAGAAGTCCTCCTTCCCTTCCTTGGTGAGTCACCCAGGCCCCCCTTCTCAAGGGCTTCTATCGTGGCCGCATCCCACAAAGCAGCACACACAGGCACCTGCCCAGAGGTCGGCAAGCAGCCAGGCAACAGTGGCCCTCTCTTCCGTCCAGGGGATGTGCCAAGGGTCTCTGGAACAGAATGAACGACTTTCTTTGGCAATGCCGGCAGGGTGCATGCCCAGTGGTGGGGGAGAGGCGGTCTGGTGCTCTCCTCAGCAGTCTAGGCATCCATGTCTGGACCAGGCTCCTGGAAGAGGGACTGCTTCCTCAAGTTGAGCCGGGCACACTTGGGGCATGTGGTGGAGTTGTCATAGTAGCAATCCCTAGGGGCAGAAAGACAGGCTGGGGTCTACACGTGAAATCCCACTGCCGGACCTTCCCTAGTCTCATGAGTTATCTCCCATCACCCCTCCACAAATGGAGAATTTCATAGCCCTGATCTGCATCCAGGTCTCACTGAGCTCAGGGCCCACAGATGGCAAGCACTCATCCAGGAAGTCGAAGCTCGCCTCTGCCAAAGAAGCCTCTCATTCCCCAGTATCCCAACTATGCAGACTCTCAGGTCACAAGTGAAGGGGGTGAACCAAGCAGGCTCTGAGCTCCTGATGACTCTACTGTCACCACTTGTTCTCATTACCACTCTGGAGCTTCCACCCATGGCTCCCAAACCGAGTGCCAAGGCATGCCAAGCCTCTGCAGAGGGTACATGGCACTCTGCAGGCTTCACTACACATTTGAAGAGAACACAGCAGTACTGTGAGTTTCAACATTAGTTTTTTGTTTTGGGGGGATTTTTGGTACGGGGGATGGAACTGGGGACCGTGCACCTTCGAGGCAGGCGGCAGCACCACTGAGCTAAATCCCCAGCCCTCAACATTAGTTTTTGCTACACCCCTTTCTGTGACCACCTGCTTTGCAAAACTGGGATTTCAGCAGTTGCCATGATAAACAGGCAGGCAAAGATTGATGTGGACAGAAACAAGGGGGGGGGGTGGCCATCTACTCTGGGGCCCAGCAGGGGCACACAGATCATTACTAAGAAATCATGCTTGTTGATGAATGACATTAAAGTGTTTGTCTTCTATTTTGTGTGTATTCTGATTCCAAACAGCCAGTAAATCTTAAGCGCATAAACCCTTTTAACTTTGCTTGAACGTAATTATTTAATGAGCAACAGTGAATAGTGCTAGGTATTTCTTTTCTCTTAGGAGCACTTGAAAAAGTTACTGAGACACTAAGGGTACCAGGAGCTAACTTTGAGACCCTCTGGTCTATACTGTCCCTGTGACTTCACAGTGGTACAGGAGAGTAGTGGACACTATGATCAAGTCCAGGGCTGAGCTGGTGTTCAGGGACTGGTCCAACATGGTCCAGGCTGCAGCAGCCCCTCCCCAGGCCCCTGCAGATGTTTACTCCTAACAGCACTAGGTTTTTTTGTTTGTTTGTTTGTTTTGAGATAGGGTCTCACTATGGCCTCAATCTTCCTGTCTCAGACTCCTAAGTAGCTGTTACAGGGTTACATGCATGTACTACCGCACCCAGTTCCCTAATAGAACGTTTTGTTTTTCAGTACTGGGGATTGAATCTACCTCATCTGCAATGAGCTACCTCCCTGATGCTTCTTTTCATTTTTCTTTTTCATTTTTTACTTTGAGACAGCATCTTGCTGAGTCACCAAGCTGCCCAGGCTGGGCTCAAACTTGTGACCCTCCTGCCTCAGCCTCCCAGAATGCTGGGATCACAGAGGAGTGTGCACCACCAGGCCCAACTCCCAGTGGAACTTCAGTACTAGACACCAAGATCTAACTCCATATCTCAGGATCAGCAAAGAGCTTGGAAAACCAAGCAGCAGAAGCCCAAACAAGTATCTGTCTCCTCTCAGGGACAGAAGAAAGATCAGCCACAGCTGAGGAGATGGGGAGGTGCCCCACTCAGTCGCCACCCAGTCTGAGAAGTCCAGGCCACACCCACCTGTGGAAGACGGCTGAGCAGTCTGTGCACACAGATGTGTGGCTGTCGAATGGGAACAGCACATCACCCTCTCTGCAGAGCTCACACACGAAGCCCTTGGCCTGGCACCGCTGGCAGGGAGGGGAGACAGCATGGGGTTGGGTGGGCAGGTGATGCCAGCTCAGGCAGGGAGGGAGCAGCATGGAGTTAGGGCAGCAGATGGTACCAGCTCATTGGGGAAGGAAGTAGCACGTGGGGCTGGGCAGGTGGGTGATGCCAGGTTGGGGAGGTACACTGAGCTGAGCCGCTTCTGCCAATGCCAACCCTCAGGGCTGGAGGCAGAAGTGGTCTGGGGGCCCCCTAGATCCCATCCAGCATGCAGGAGGTGGGAGGCCCACCTCACAGTCCAGCTTGATATGCTTGGCAAAGAGCGTGTGGATCTCGGTGAGAGAGCAGCCAAGGCGGCCCAAATGCACATCCAGCAGGTCCTGGATGGAGTACATCTCGTCGTTCTCCACAAAATGCTGTCGGTCCTGGAGCTGCCAAGTCGCCACAGCTGTGACCCCGGGCGGAGTCTCAGGGCCCTCCCATCCCCACCGCAGCTGTTCCCATTCCCAGGGCTGTGGTACCTGGATGCAGGTCCCAAGACCGGGACCCAGGAGTCTGGGGAAGCTGAGGAGGGGGACTGGGCCACGGCTACCTTCCCCGTCTGTGCCCCTCACTCCTCGCCTCGCCTCACCACACTTCCTCCTGACCTAGGTCTCCCTCTGTGACACCCCACGCGCCCTGGCCCTGCTGTCCTTTGTCCGAGTGCTCGCCACCCAGACATACCACTTGTTTTTCTTGCACTCTCCACCTGACGGGCGCTCTCCAAGTGCAAGAATCCCTGCTGATTTTGTTCACTGCTTCCGAGTGTCTTAGAAGCATCACTGAACAAAGAGATACACGAGCCTGGACACTCATGTTCTGTGCAGCCCACCTCCATGCGGATTCACATACAGGCTGCGGGCAACACTTGCTTATCTTAGCTTCCCAAACTGAGAAAACTGGAACACTTTTGTGGATTTACATAATGGTTTGCAATAGACCTAATGTTCCTGGGACAGAGTCTGGGAGACTGTCTGCTCAGAGCTCAGCACACACAGCTCCCGAGTGATTGAGAAAGCTCTGCACTGCAGGTGAGGTGTTCCTGTCCCTGGCTTCTCTGGCCAGTGCCTCTGGAAGTCTGACCTGCAGCAGCAGCCGGGCTTCCATGGCCTCCTTGCAAGTGATGAAGTATGGCTTCATGAGCAGGATGTCCTGGCGCAACTTCTGTGGACAAGAGCGGTGGGCAGGTTCCTCAGCCAGGGCCTAAGATGGGCAGTCACACTGGGAGGCTGAGGGGCCAGCCCTGCTGGCTTCCAAGAGTCACATTCACAGCTGCCTCACCGACACTCCAGGTGATGGCAAGCTCAGCAGGGGACAGGGAAGGTGGCCACATGTTCCCCGGGATGGTCCCAGACCCGAGACCTGGCAAACTCAGGTTCAAATCACAGCTCCAGGCTGCTCAGGATCCTGCTCATCTACTGTCACACATGCCCCCCTCTGTTCACTCCGTCCAGGAGCCTGAGGGCAGCACAGGGCACACTTGACAGAGCCCGTGTCATGACCCACAGGTCTCCCCATGTCCCAGTCACAGCCCACAGCCCTCACGGGACCTGGTGGCCACAGCGATTCACCTTGCTCTGCCTCAGCCTCCGGTCCCACAGAACCCAACCCTTTTGCCCACTTTCAGGGACACCGCACTTCACACCACCACTCTCCCTCCTGGCTAAAGGTGACTGCAAGGCACACTTGGCTGCCAAGCACTTAGAAGTGGCTGGGTGACTGGCTGTGGAATCTACACTGAAACTCAGAGACGCAGGGCAAAAGAAAGAACGTCACATAAAACATCATGATAATCTTGAAAATGGACTGCATGTTGAAATAAGGTTTTGGACAAACTGAGTTAAAGAAAATATGTTATGAAAATTAACTTTACCCATTTCTTGGATACAGGGTCTGACTGCGTAGCCCAGGCTGGCTTCCAACTTGCAGTGATTCTCCTACCTCAGCCTTCCGTGTGGTGGGATTACAGATGTGAAACCCACACCAGGCCTCTTACTTTTTCAATGAGGCTAGTAAAAAGTTAAAATTGTCTTCATGCCTGGCATAAGCGCCTTCAATTTAAATGACATCAAGGCTGAATCTCGCCTGGGCTCAACCTGCCGGGGCCCCGCGTCCCAAGAGGATTGCCTCACCCGGATCTCCACCAGCTCCTCCACATAGTTGAACAGCAGGGGGTTGATCTCCCGCAGCCGGAGCACCGGCCTCGACACCATCAGAGCCAGGTAGCGCATGCTGCAGCGAGACACCTGCGGGGCGTTGAGTGGCCACGCCCCCCCGCCCCCGCCCCTCCCCGCCCCTCCCCGCCCCCGCCCCAGCAGAACAAGCCTCGCAACACGCCCACACCTGGCCCTCCCCGAGCCACAGGCCAGGCTCCGTCTGCGCAGCGGCACTCAGCCCCACAGCGCCTTACCTTGCGCGGCTCGAAGTCCCAGTTGTGCACGACGCGTGCAGGGATAACAGCCAGGTCGTTCCAGTGGCAGTGGCTGCAGTAGTACCGGCCCGTGTAGTCACACTGTCGGGCCTCACTGGGCACGCCCCCTGCGGCAGGCGGGCCAGTCAAGGTCAGGGTGGGCGTTCAGGGTCAGGGCCAGCTCCTTCCTGCCTGTCCTGTGGCCCAGCCTCCCTTCCCCAAGGCCAGTGGGGGTCCCAACCTCCAGACACGCCCCATCTGAGCTCAGACCGTGAGGCCTTTGGCCACAGACTGGGACAAAGCACACAGCACACTGCTCCAGAGACTTGCTAAGGTTCATTCATGGGGTCCCTTCCGCAGTTCTCTGGCAGGGTCCTGCTGTCCCCTTTCCTGATAAACTGAGGGCACGGAGACACTGCGCCCCCTACAGGCCTGGACAAGTCATGAAACAGCTGGAATTCAGGCTGCTTCCGTAGGAAGTGATAAAATGTCAGCGACCGCCCCTGTCACTTCCCAAAGACCAGGGCCAGGGACTGCCTTGGTCCCAGGGCCTCATCCAGTGACCTGGCTTCACCAGGTTTCTCACCACCCTGTCCGAACCCACCCTGGAGTAGCTCCCTCTCCCCATTGTCTCCCGGCCACCACTCACGCAGAGAGATGGGCGCCCGGCACTCGGCACAGCGGTAATCCTGGCTGTCCAGCCCCGTCTCGGGGCAGATGTTCAGCTCGTACTCGGCCTGGTGGCTAACCTTGGAGCTCACACAGGGCTTGGAGATGAGGTTCAAGCACTTGCTGTGGCAGCGGTAATAGCAGCCTGGGGTTGGAGGACAACCATGCCTCTCAGAAGCACAGGGGGATCCCGCAGCCCAGGCTGACCTCAGCTGGCCACGGCCCAGCCCTCACAGGCGCCACAGGCTCCAGTGTCCAGACCAGTCCAGAATAGCCACAGGAGACCCTTGTGTCCCCATCCCCAGAGCCTCACCTCTGAGCTCCAGACTCACGGATTCTGGCATGCTCCTGCCATTCCCACCCGTCAAACTTGAGCTGCCCAAAAGGAATTTTCACTCTTCCATCTCAACCCCCTTCCTCCATTTCCCATCTGGGATTTCAGCAGCTCATCTTCAGGGCAAGACCAAACATTGTGAGTCACGCAGACTCCTCCTCAGCTCTTACACTGCACTTTCAAGTCTTCAGCCAGCACTGACCCTAGCCACTTCTCACCCAAACCGATCACAGAGCCATCATTCACCCTCCACCACCACCCCTTGCATCTCTATCCTTCCTCCTTCAGCCCACGCTCAACTCTGCAGCCAGAGTTTAAGTGTGCACCCCCTAAGCCCCACCACACTTACAGAAAAGCCCTCAGCCCCCCAAGCCCGCCTCAGACACGTGCTGAGCAGCACTGTGCTCTGCTCCTCCTTGAGGACACTGGGCACACACTGACCACAGGGATTCCTGATCGAAGTGTTCTTCCCAAAGTCTACCCTAACCTGCTCCCTGAACTGCAAGCATTTATTTAAATATCACATGAGGATTTTTCATCCCACCCTCGTCATTCCCACTCTATATTATTTATTCCCTGTCCCTGTTCCCTTTACTAGGACTGTCTGCATGTAACATCATTTACTAGTCCGATTTCTCATCCAGAGCACCATGCACAGGAATTTCCCCATGACAGAAGTGTTTTCTCTGTACTACCCAACATGATAACCACCAGCTTCATGTGGCTACTGAGCACTTGCAATATCATTTGCACCGCTGGGGAGCTATACATTCAGTTCATTTGGTTTAAGTGTGAGTAGCCATCCACAGCCAGTGGACACCGGTGGACACCTCAGATGTGGATGTCAGGCCAAGGAAGGCAGGGACCCTGAACTCTTCTCTCCCTCATGTCTCCAGCACACAGCAGAGCACGGTCAACTGAGAACCCTGGAGAATTCGCCTGAACACAGCCCGCATTTTGGAGCAGAGCTCTGGGCTTCTCTGCCCTGCCCTAGGGACCTGGACTGCATGCTTGGAGAGAGGGGTCTCAGTCTTAGCCCACCTGTGCAGGTGTACCAGGTCTGAATGAGCCCCCAGATGATGGTGTTGCACTTGTCACAGGTCTGCTTGACACTTTTGCTCTTCTCCTTGTAGAAGCGGTGCTCTAGGAGGACTCGGATATTGGGCTCATCCTCATTGGGGTCCTGCAGAGGAGAGTCAGAGAGGAGTCAGGGAAGGGCTCCGGTCACACCCCGCAATGGATTTCTTCCAGGTACCGCTTATCACAGAAACTGTGCACTCAGCCCAATGTACATTCCCTCTTCCCTCTAGCCACAGAACGCTGGTAAGTCAGCTGCAGCCAGCAAGACCCCACACTGCCCTTCCTAGCATCCCTGAAGCAGCTGCTACCTGGGTCTGCACAGGGACCACGGGCCAATAAGCAGGAAGGGTGTGGCCTCTGCCTTTCCTTCCTGTGCTGACTGGATACAAATCATCGGGATGTGCTGTGGGGTACCAGGGACGAAACAGCAGCCAACAGCATAACCAAGATCTCCAGCACTGGTTGGTACATGGCCCTGGGACTGCCTATGGGATTGTTTTTCATGAAAAAAATTATACCCCTATGTCCTTCAAACCAGGGTATTTTGGGGCTGGGGATTTAGCTCAGTGGTTCCACTGCCTGCCTGGCAAGCGCAAGGACCGGAGTTCGATCCCCGGTACCAAAAAAAAAAAAAAGAGAGAGAAAAGAAAAAGAAACAAACCAGTGTATTTTTTGGATGCTTCTCACCATAGCCATACCTATCTCCTAATGAACAGTCCATTTTCTAAATTCCCCAGGGCTCAGGAGTCAATACTGGGGACAGTGGCAGCCAGGCCAAAGAACACAGTCTTGGGGCAATATGGTGGACACCTGCAGGTTTTGTGCTCTGGATTCCACCACCTCTTCCACTGTCACTTTCAGGAGACCACCCCTCCTAGTCTAGATCCCAGGGCTCGAGAAGGGATCATCCTACAGACTTGGTACAGTGAGTGGGTCAAGGCCCACAACCAGCTGATCACTGTGACTGTCATGAGTGGTCCTTATGGACCCAGGGCTGACTCTGTCTACTGGAGGGACCCTTCCCTCTGCACAGGATTGCTGAGCTGGTAGCAGGACAGGCTCCCATTGCTGAGGCTATCCCTGCCTGTACAGGGAAATCCTACCTACGGACAGAGCTGACACAGAAAGCACAGCAAAAGGGGGCCGGGGATTTAGCTCAGTGGCACTGTGCCTGCCTCGAAAGCTCAAGGTCCTGAGTTCGATCCCCGGTACCAAAAAGAAAAAAAAAAGGAAAGAAAGCACAGCAAAAGGGCAAGGTTCCTGATCCTGGTGGAGGACCTTTCTGCTAACAAGCGTTTTCTTTTTGGTTTCTGTCTATTGCAGCCAAGAAGGTCTGGACTGACACAAAAACAGCCTCATGTGGGGTGAGGACCCCATTTTTCACTCTGTCTTTCTGGACACCTTTCTACCTCAGCCCTTCAGAGAACGGAGGCAGACCCATCCCTGTGGAGGAAGCCTTAGGCTGCCCCATCCTCCTGCTCCCCAAGACCAGAGCTGGGCTCTGGACTCCCTCCGCAGTATGCAGACTGGCATTCACCTTCAGCTCCTGCAGCTTCAGCCGGAGGTGGATGAGCCTCACCACAGCATCCTTCTGCCTCTCTGACTGCTCAGGCAGCTCCAGAATCACCTGCTTACATTCCTCAATCGCTTGCCGAAGCTGCTGGACATCAGAGGCCAGGAACAGACCCTGCCAAGGTCGGGGGCAGTCAGACAGCCACACCAGAGGCTCCGCCCATTGAAGCCAGGCCTGTCCTCAGGCACATCTAGGCACTGAGCAGACCTCAAGCCCCAGGGCAGGTGAGGCCCTGGACAGTGAGCCACACAGTCGGCACCAGCCCTGCAGTGCCACATCTCACAGGTCTCTGAGGACTTGTTTAGGACAGTTAAAATTCCACTTCCTTCTTTTAAAAAACCAATTGCTTTTTTTGGCTGTGTCATTTTACTTACTTCTAAAAAGCTTCCCCTTGGAAGAAAGCTAGCGAAAAGAAACTGGCTGTCATAAAGGAGAGGAAGTGGTCTCTGGCTAAACTGCCAAACCCAGGCAGAGGCCAGCAAAGTAGCCTGGAGGTGACCACCCAGACCACGATGTCTCATTGTGCTGCACACTGACCCTGATGCCACAGGGGACAGGCTCAGCCTCAGAGCTGGGAGGTCAGGATGACCTCCCTCAGCAGCACCCTCCCATTGGGCTCGAGAGACCCAGGCAAAGAGGAAGTGGCCCTTCCCCCCTCCTTGGAGCGCAGTCTGCAGCCAAGAGAAAGTGCTCAGAAATATCTGATAATGAAGACACATAACACATGCGTGCAAGGGCAAAACTGAGAGGCCACATTTACAAAATGGAAACGAATTCAAACTGGGGGTTTGAAGATACATTCTGATGTTACTAAGTTTCTTTCAAATGTTGGGTATGCTTTGCATAAAACGCAAAGATTTTCAAACATTTTTAACTGTCAGAGCTCCCCTCTTTTCCTTCAAAACAAGCCCCCCATGGGACTCAACACAGAGCAGTGAGGTGGCACCGCGCTGCGCAGTGGCTGGGGGACAGGCAGGGGCTCCTCCCTCCCACAGGAAATTTCATCCTTGGCCTGACCCCAAAGAGAACCAACTTTCGTGTCTGCTTCAAGAGAACCTGGAGCTTCAGGGAGAGAAGGGCCAAGTCCTCAACCTCAAACCTGGGGTGTCTCACCTACCCTCAGACCCGCCTCCAGGTTAGGCTCGGGGTATTTGAGGCCCTTGAGATGGCTAGGGTGGAGGCTGCTGAGTTGGACAGTGGTGGCTCACGGTGAGGAAGGCTGTGTGCAGGCCATGAGGCAGTATCTACTACCATGTGGGAGTGGGGTGCCAAGGAAACCACCGGCCCCCAATATTCTGGGGCCCAGTCTCTCCACCCAGGCCCAACTTTACCACAGGGCGAGAGAAGTGGTCCTCAGACAGGCCAAGATCCATCACACGCTCAGAGCAGCAGAACTCAGGCTCCCCAGGGCGCAGCTCAGGCAGGATCTCTGGAGGAGAGGGGACAGGTGCGGAGGGTGCAGGGATAGATATAGGTCACCCCACTGCCTCCTGCACCTCACCTCCCAGGAGGTGGGCAGGAAGGGACCAGGGGCCCACAGGAAGGAAGCAGTGAAGAGCCGTGTACTCTCAGCTCAGCACATCTATGGGTTCGTGCTTGAGAAAGAGCCCAAATGAACCAATATCCCATGCAGACAGGAAACAGTCATTGAGAAAGGGAGATGGAATGACCGACAGTGGCAGTGAGGCAGTGCACAAGACAACGCTACAGCAACACCCCGAGTCTGAGGCAGGATGTCTGGCGGGTGAGCATGTGCACTCAAACAGGCCATGACGGCTCCACCACAAAGTCCACAGAGCCCTGCATGGATCCCAGGCCATCTCTGCAACCACTCTGGCCCCAAGTACACCCCGTGACGTCCTCCTCAATTCCCGGAGCCCACGCCCTCCCAACCAGAGGATCCACTAACCTCCTCCACAGATCTTGGCTCTCAATTTGTTCCCCAACGGTCGGCTGAGCACCTGCCATGTGACCTGCCAGCCCTCTGAACTGGTCTTTCCAGTGAGGGAGACAGAAGTAACCCACAGAGCAGGTGGAAAGGGATTTGTGCTTCTGGGAAAAAGGAAGCAACCAGCGCAGCTCACCAGTGGCAGGAGAGTCAGTGAGCTCTCTGGAGCCAAAAGGAAGAAAGGGCCTGCAGTTCCCACTTCCCCATCACCCACCTTCAGAGCTGATCTCCAGAGCCTCCTGAGCGGCTCCCTGCTCATGCTGCCCTGCCCCAAGCTGCTTGTTGAAGGGGTTGAGGTGGGCTTGCCGGAACCGGGCCAGCTTCTCATTATATTCCATAGCATCTCACCTGCAAAGCCACCATGCTAGGGTGAATACCCAGGTCCCAGGCTCACCATGGACCACCCCTTTTTCCACCCCCTGCCTCTTCTGCTTCCCCACACCATGGCCTAGATCCTCAGCCTCTCCCCAAAGCCCCTTGCTGTCCCCACCCAGATACTGCTGTGGCCTCTCCTCAGGAAAAGCCCACAAGATGAGGCTTGTCCTGGCCCCGCACGTGGGGATGTGTCTCATCCAAGGGGCCCAGCCAGAGCACCAAGGACCCAAGGTCCTGCTTCCCAGTGAGGGGTCCTCTGCCCCCAGACATTGCAGAGTCCCAGCCCTAGGGCCATCTCACAGAGCTCCTGCTGGCCACTGATGCCAGCCACCTCCCTAGCCCAGTCTAGCCATGCCCCATTCTAAGCCTGCTCCATGACCCACCTCTTGGAACTGGGTCCTACTTCCGGCCTCCACTGGAAGGGCCTCTTTCCTAACAGAGCTCCCAGCATTGGTCAGAGTGCTCAGGGTGGGCACTACAGCCATCAAGACGTGGTCATGCGTGGGAACGGGGGCTCACATCCAGACTCCAGGCTGCACTGGCGTCCTCGGCCTGGATTCCAGGCCTGAACATAAACTCTGCAATGACCCAACTCACTGGCTGGCTCCCTCCCCTCGGCTCTGCACCTGCCAGAAGTCAAGGATCAGTAATGCCTGGTCCCCTCCCTGGGGCTCAGCAAATGGCAAGACACACGAGCTGAGGGTTCTGGCAGGGAGGAAGGGGTGCTGGCAGGGCAGGAACTTAAGTAGCTGGGCAGCATTCCACAGCTTCTCTCCGCCTCTGCTTCCCCTCACATACGTGGGTCAAATAACGTCACAGACACAGGCCAAAAAGCTCTGGATAATATTGTTATTATGGGAAGCTTTTTGTGGTGCTGGGGAATGAACCCAGGGGTGCCAACCTCCATCCTCAGGTTTTTGTTTTGTTTTGTTTTGCTGTGTTCGGTTTTTAAGACAAAGAGCACTAAGTTGCTTAGGCTGGCCTTGAACCCTCCTGCCTCAGCTTCCTCACCAGCTTGGATCACAGATGTGTCACCACACTACACCTAGCTGGAAAGATGCTTTTTAAATCCATGAGGCTGATGGCTACTGATCTTATTACAAACTGAAATAATTCATAATCATGTGAGACAATTCCATGACCCTGCTTGCTCCTTCACCTCAAAGGGGGAAGAAATAGACTCTAGGGGGGAGGCCCTGCCCAGGGCTCCCAAACAGGCTGAAGAGCTGGGATGGGAGAGGCTGCTTCACCGCAGCTGATGGAGGCTGGGCCTCCACACCAGGGTCAGAAATTCCAAACCTGGGGTCCAGGGATTTAGCTCAGTGGTTCTGCCACCTGTCTCACAAGCACAACAACCCGAGTTCCATCCCTGGTACCAAAAAAAAAATCTGTGCAGAAATTCCAAACCTGGGGAGTGTGGGCTGGGCCAGCATTCCAGGTTGGCAGGAACTGGACTAATCAACAGCTGGACCTGGGTCCAAACAGAAAGACACCAGGAGGACACAGGAGCAATCAGCTCACCATCAGATGACTTTGGGTGGATCACAAAAGGTGCTAAAGTCAGAGGCAGCCACCGATGCCCAGTGCCTCCTGTGCATCCTTGGGATGGCCAGAGTGCAGGAGGCTGAGCTGTTGCAGTGCCCACTCAGTCTCCTTAAATTGGGAGTCCTAACTTTTGATTTGTTACATGATTTCCAAGTCTACTCTGCAGCTAGACAGGGTAATATGACTATATGCTGATAACAGGACGCAAACAACAATCACACAAGATTTCCAGGAGTCATTCTTACAGGGAGGGGATGTGCCTCTCCAGCCCTTCCTTCCTCTGGCTGTCTAGGATGCAGGTGTAACTGCTAAAGAAAGAACAGCAACTTTGGGATGTGACACAGAAGCCACATATGAGGATGGTCACGTGACAAGACTTCACCTGAGCCCTGAGCTGCTCACCAGTTTACATTCAAGTGAGATGGAAATCAACCATTTCACAACACTGCTATTAGGAAGGAGGGTTCTGTCTCGTGAAGCCCAAACAGAACCTGACTGATCACCCTAGTTACCTCATAGAAATAAGATCGACAGGTCTAACACAAGTCCCAGCTCTGCCAGCTCCTCCCCAGGACCTTGTGCAAATGCCTAAATCTTCTCTGCTTCCAGGTTCTCACATGTCAAATGCAGATTATAACAGCAGAGGTGTCAGAAAGACCAAATCACTAACACAAACTTCTGAGACAAAGGCCAGCTCATAGTCAGCACCCCATAAATGTCAGCTTACCACTTTAATATTTTTGAGATGCTGACAGCTCTGATTTAAACGCTGGCTATCCCAGTGATGAGTCCCTGTACAATGCCACGCTCCTGCCTAGGGACAGCAGGATAAATACACTTGTGGTTCCAAGTCGCCAGTAGCCCAGTCACTGCTAAGCCAAACATCAAGGTCAACAACCAGAAGGGAATGGGGAGCACGTAGGAGCCACACCCAGATCTCCCTGGAAAGCTCTGGGCCAGACAGTGAAAGGCAAGCCCCTAGCAGGAACACCACTATTCTGCCAGCAGCTCTGCTCCAGATGCAGGCTCTCCAGGAAAAAACATCTTTCAGTAGACGAAGACACCAGTGCGGCCATTTGACCTCAGTGGCGGTTTCTCTCCCCACAGGCGGGGAAATCACATGTCCTCTTTAGCGGGGCAGCCAGATGCCCCAGCACACGGGCATAGGGGGCAGTCCTGACTCTGCGAACACACCAGCTCCTCCCCCACCCCTAGTTTCACCCCACAGTGCTTCACCCAGAAATCAGGCTTAGCCTCAGAAAGGAACAGCCAAGGAAGAGGAGTCTGAGGCAGAGAAGCGCACAACCCACCCTGCACCTCTCACGGGGGACAGTCCAGCCTGAGCCGTGAAAGGAAATGGCCCAAGGGCTGCCGCTGAGGGGGTCTGGCTGAGCTTAGAACGTGTCTTGTCCTGCCCTCCGCAGAACCACCAAAACCCGGTTCCGACTCAGCTCAAAACCTGGAGGGAGAGGACAGGTGTGTCCCATCTGCTCCCACCTGGAACAAGGTGTGCCAGGGACAGGGCTACCCTTCCTCTAGGGACTGTTTAGCCCTGCCGCCGCCTGCAGAGACGTCCAAACCTCACCGCCTCCATCGTCACCCACAAAGCACCAATTCGCTCTGGGGACGACCTCGTCCTCGCGGGTCGCTGCCCCACCCCCATGTCACAGACGAGAGAACGGAGGTCCCGCGGGTCTCACACCGACGACTGTGACAGTCGCTGGGGGGCCTCCCCCCTTGGGTGCCAAGCCCTCCCCCAAGGATTGCAGGGCTCTAAGTCACTAAGCTAGCAGCCCAGAGGAGGACCAGCGGTGGCATCCGGGGGCCGAGATCCCACCCTGCCCAGGGCCTCGGCCACTTCACACCGGGGTCTCGCGGAAGCCCCAGGCCCGAGCACCGCCGCGGCCCCGCCAGTCGGTTCCCGTCTCCGTCACCCCATCGCAATCCCCGCCACCCGTCTTTGCTCACCGACTGTCGCTGCCGCTACATGGTCACCCGCCGCTGCGATACGCAGTCCGGGAGCCCGCTGCTGCCGCCTGCGGCCCGGAGGCGCACGACACGGTCCTCGGGCCCCGCCCCGGCCCCAGGAGGAAGAGGCGGGCAGGTAGGGGATCTGCTGAAGAAGCGGGGTCTCGGGCAGGAGCGGGACCGCCGGGAGGGAACAGCAGGACGCCGAAGCGAGGTCAGGCCGGGCGCGGGCAGCTCGGGAGCTCCCGTCCGGGGCGCCGGGGACACGGACTACGCGGGAACCGTCAGGACGGCTCCCGACGCCCTGTGACCCGTGGGGCGGGGACAGCGGTGGCCACGTACGGAGGGGTCGGGAGAGGTCCGGCAAGGGGCAAGCTCGGAGTGCTGCTGTTGGAGCCCTTGGGCCAGGCGAGCCCACGAGCCCCGCCGCCGAGCCCACTGTACGCCACGACGGCGGGGCACCTGCTCAGGCTGTGCGTGCGCGACCCAGGGCGCTGCCACGGATCCGATCGGACGGCCGAGTGTGCAGTGCCGCAGCTCCGCCTGTCCTGCTGACCACGCGGGTCCACCTGTACTCCCTTCCTCTTCGCCAGCGCACTCTCCGCTACCCTGACAGGAAGACTGCGGGTAGGCGCCCGCCGCGCCGTGGGCGCCCGCTGTTCAGCCTCGAGTCCAGTGACACCACTCCGGCTTCCCTCTGCGCCTGCGCGGCGCACTCCCCCTCCACCCCCCCCCCCAGCCTACGCGGCCTTCCCCAGCAAAAAAAAAAAAAAAAACACAAAAACTCAACGTTGGCCAATCAAATTTCTGCTTTCTCTTTGAGCAGCCAATCGGAGAACGCTATGGCGGGTGAGGGCGAAGGCAAAGCTTTCCGAAGCGAGCTGAGAGGGGCGGGGCTTCGAGGGTCTTGCTCCAGTCCAGATCCTGAGTTCCCCGGCGCATACCCTCGGCAACGCCTCCTGGACGGGTACCTTTAACTTTATCAAGTGCGATTGGATTTTTTTTTTTTGGTACTGGGGACTGATGGAACCCAGGGTCTGCATGCTCGGTGTGTTAGTTACTTTTCCCGCTTGCTGAGACAAAATACCAGACAACCAAAGTTAAAGGCGAAAGGGTTAATTTGGCTTACAGTTCGTAGAGGTTTCGGTGTTTCAGTCCATAATCAGCCGACTCCAAGGCAGGGACGACAAACAGGCATGGCAGAGCAGAAACAACATGGCGCACACAGGCAGCAAAGGTAACGAGAGAGTTAGCAGCGTCTATCTGCCCCTTTTATTTTACTCAGACTACTTAGGGTGGGCCGCACTCACATCCTTAATCCTAGTGTCTCGAGCCTAGCATTGCATCATGAATCCCAGCTTCACGCGCTCTAGATCAAGCCTGTGACCACATGAGGCTTTGGGGGGACATCCAGACCCAAACCATAGCACTAGGCAAACTTTCTACCACTGAGCTACATCCCCTCCCTTTTTAGTTTTGATTTTTTTTTTTTTTTTTTTTGGTACCGGGGATCGAACTCAGATCCTTCCGCTTGCAAGGCAGGCGGTGGAACCACTGAGCTAAATCCCCGGCCCCTAGTTTTGATTTTGAGATAGGGTCTCCTGAGTTGCCCCGGCTGGCTTCAAGCCCGTGGCCCTCCTGCCTCAGCCTCCTGAGAAGCTGGGATGATAGGCATTCACCATTATGTCCAGCACAGTTGGATTTTTTGTCCCTACCAAGGAGTTGTAAATTGCAACCGATTTACTACTTCATTGCAGACAGTCACTTGGAGGCAACTCTTTTTTGCAACCTCTAAGATATCATTGCTGTCACATTAAAATTATGGGAGGTGGGCTGGGGTGTAGCTCTGTGGTACAGCACTCACCTAGCACAAGCAAGGCCCCAGGCACAAAGCCCTGGGTTCAATCTTTAGCACCAAACACACACACACACACACACACACAAATTAAATTAAATTACAGGAAGGCCCAGCAAGGCGGCAGGAACATAAAGTCCTAGCTCCTTAGGAGGCTGAGGCAGGAGGATTGTTTGAAGCACTTGAACTCAGGACCAGCCTGGGCAGTACAGTGAGACCCTGTCTTAAAAGATAAAATAGGGCCAGGGATTTAGCTCAGTGGTTTCGCCACCTGCTGTGCAAGTGCAAGGACCCGAGTTTGATCTCCAGTACCTAAAATAAAATAAAAGATAAACAGGGGTCATTGTTTTGGACTTAGTTCCTGCACTAGGCCCAACAGACCAGAACAGAGGCACTCATGCTAGGCACTACATGATGAAACTGAGGCTGAAAACAAGCTAGGTTTCTGGAGGACAGGAACATGACAGCACTCTCTTCCTCAACCTTGAGAGGCCAATTCAGATTTATCCAGAAAGCCATTGTCCATGGCTGCATAACAGACCACCCCAAAGCCTAGTGGCCTCCAGCAGGGGCTGTTTTTTTTTTCTTTTGGTACCAGGGATCGAACTCGGGTCCTTGTGCTTGCCCAGCAGGCAGCAAAACCACTGAGCTAAATCCCCACCCCCAGGGACTGTTTCTTATGCCAACAGGTCCTGCAATCAGGAGTTCGGGCCTTAAGTCTGGGCCTGGAAGGTCCTGTGCACATTCCTCCTCTGGCTGAGCTCCTGAGATAGCAGGAGGCCGGGCCGGGTGGTTTCTCCAGTGCTGGGTTGAAGTAGGAGCTTCCTGAGAAGCCAGTGTGTGCGTGTGTGTGTGTGTGTGTGGTGTATGGCCTCCACCTGAATCTGACCTTGGAGCAAAGCGGAAAAGGACTGAAGGACCCAGCAAGAGCAGGGGCAGTTGGGAAGCGACCATGAATGTTACCAAGAGAAGCAATCCATTCTGGCTCAGTTTGGGAGATTGCACTCCATGACTGTGGGTCCACCTTCACTTTGGGGCCTGTCCCAAAGGCAGCAGGTCATGGCAGGGAGCTCAGGGGAGAGCAGACCCACATACTTTGTAGCCAGTACCAAAGCAAGATCTCCCGCCAGGCCCTACCTCTTGGTCGGAGAAGTTACAGCGAGCCAGGTCCCAGGGGAGACATCTGCCATCTCTGAGCACCCAGCCCACACACACTGCCCTTCGGGTCACACTCGGGCATGGGCCTGCCCACCTGGGTGGCCCACCCTGAGTGCTTAGGGATGGTGAAGGAGAGTGGTGTGAACAGGGAGAGCTGGGGGTGGCTGTTCACGAACCCCGCCACCTCACACAGACGGGACTGACAGGGCTCACCAGGAGCAGGAACAGACAGGAAGTGGCTGCAGACTCAGCAAGGTGTCAGACATGGCGGGAGAGGCGGGCATCTGTGCAATCCTAGAATGCTGGAGGTAGGTATGTTAGCATTCCATTGCTGAAACAAAATACCTGAGAAAACCAGTTTAAAAGGAGGGAAAAGTTGGGCGTAGCAGGACCTTGGGAGGCTGAGGCAAGAGGGTCACAAGCTCAAACCCAGCCTGGGCAATTTGATGGTTTCCTGATGCCCTAACTCAAGAGCAAACGGATCTTAAACCCAGCAGTCCTCAACACCATAGGTGGATGGATAGATGATGATAGATGGATGATAGATGATAGACAGATGGGTGGGTGGGCAGACACCTTGGCTCATGGCTCCAAGCGTTTCAGGCATGGTTGTGCAGCTCTGTTGCTTTGGATTTGTGGTGAGATCACACTTCATGGTGGGCTGTGTGGCAGAGGACACTTGTGCACCTCAAAGCAGCTAGAAAGCGAAAGAGGAAGAATGTGGCCCTATGTTCCCTTCAAGGGCACCACCAGGAACCCTACTGTGCCCACCAACCCGATAGCCCTGCAGGCTGGGGCCACTGGCCTTTGGGGACATTGAAGATCCAAACCATTACATGAAGCCAGTCAGACTTGCTGTGAGAGGAAGCCCAAGGCAAAATGTTAGACCCTGTAGTCACCCAGCCAGCACTGTGGGATGTGGGGAAATCAAGTTAACCCAGGATGAGTTGTGTTTTAGGTCACTAAGTCTTAGGGTGATTTGAGCTAAATGAAACACTGCAGTGCCCATCTGTGTCCCCATCCATATGGGACACCACAGCCAGCATCGCAGACATAGGCCCCTTGTGGGCTCAGTGCCCTCGACCACTTCCTCTGCACAGCCAGCCACATCGCAGGGTCATACAGGAAGGGGCTGCCTGCACTGAAGCCACTTTTGAGGTATGGCCAAGCATAGTGCAGGGACTGAGGTTTGACACCCGCCGTGGCTCTCAGGGAGCGGCCACAAGGAGGCTTGCAGAGAAGTCTAGGCTCAGGCCAGCGATCTGCATCCACTGTAGGCTCCTGGGCAGCGGTGAGCTTCAGCTTTCTACCCTGTCGGAGGAGGTGGGGTGCTGAGTGAGCATTTTTTCTGGCAATGCTGACTCCAGGGGCCTGTGCCACTGGACGCTGGGCGTCCTGCAGTGCCCAGTGACGACCGGAAGGGGGCGAACAGAGCAAGTGCATCCCTGGTCCGTTGGCCACACCCCAGCTCCTTCCCCACCCCCCCAGGTTTTCTCCAGGGGATGGTCGGGTTGCCCTTCCTGGCCTCCCCAGTTCATGCTGGGCTCTGCCCTGGTGGGGCATCCTGCACCTCCCATCCAGCAGCCAGCTGATCAGGAACAGCCCTGAGCCCGAGTGTGGGCTTGTTCCCGAGTCACGTGATGCAACAGGATTCCGCGTGGGGCTTATCCAGTCACCGCCTCGCCCTCTTCATGGAGGAGCCCCCAGGGCTGTGCTTTGCGATTGCGGCCTGCCTCTCCTCATTCCTCTGGGCCCAGCTTGCCATAACAAGGAATCTCAGGCACTAGGCACTGGTTTCTGACAGCAATAGATTTATTAAGTATCCCCCCAAAATATAAACACAACCAGTAAAAAACAAACCATGAAACATCAGGCTTGGAGCCACAATAAAACAGACCAAGAGCAACAGGAAACAGAGGTGACCTACTGGGGCGGGCAGAGCCACATGGACTCGTGGGGTGGG